GTGTCGCAAGATCCGATCCAGGACACGACAATCACGACTCCCCTCCGTTCTGCGCGCACAACTAATCAAGTCGACGAGCAGATTCGGCAGCGCCCCACCGCGAACGAGCGGCTTGTCGTTAGTAACCGCCGCAAGCGCCCTAGCGCGCCAACCATCCTCCGCCGTGACAGTGAGGAGATACGTCGCGAGCTGCTGTGCACGCGCCGCCAACTCCGCCACCGCCACATCATCGAGCTCGGGCGACGCCGCATCGAACACGGGGCTCACAGCGGCGGGCACAGCACGGTGGTCCTCCGCGTACAGCGCGAGCGCCAGCACGTGCCGCACCGCCCACACATTCTCCTTCGCCGCGCGGCGGTCGGCCGCGAGAGCCTGTAGCAGCGCGGCGACGATGCGGGCGTAGGCCGCGTACCCGCGTGCGTCGTGCGCACCAGCACGCCTCGGGGCGCGGATTGCCGAGGCGGGCGGGAGGTGCGGGTGCAGCACCGCGAGGCTCGCGGCGGGCGGGTCCGCAGGCAGCGCGTCGAGCATCGCGTCGAGGGCCGCGCGTGAGGGGAACACCGCTGAGACTACATTGATTGGTGCGCCCAGCGTGTCTTCCGCCAGGGCGTCGAGAACGTCCTCCGGGCTGCGGAGGCGGAAACATCAGCTTGATCGACAGAGAGAAGCAAAAGAAGGTAAAGCACGCACGTCACGCACACATCCGTGCTGCACACCAGCACGCCCAGCCGGCGCGTCACCTCAGCGAGCACCGTCGCGCGGGAAGCCTCGTCGCCCAACTTACACCAAGACGCCCAGATCTCCCGCGCGGCGCCGACTGCACTGGCGTCGCGCTCCTCCAGCGGATACGCGCGTGGCAGCACATGCGCGAACACATACACCGCGGGGAACAATGTTTCCCCTCCCGTCTCGGCGCCCTCCAGTGCATCCGGACGCACCGTCAGCACGCCCCTCAGCAACGCAACGTCCGCATCAAACTCACGCAGCGGCATGGGCTGCACGAGCGCCGCCTCGACGCGGCGCGCAAACGCACTGACAACACGCGCGAGCGCCGCGCGCCCCGCGGGGGGCGACAGGAACAGCTCGCCACGCTGCAGTACCTGCGCGAGGACGGGCACCGGCACAGGCGGTTCGCCGTCGCTATCGGCGGCGATGAGCGCGTCGAGCGGGCCTGTCTCCGCACTGCTCGTGCTCGCGCTCGTCCCCACCCCCGTCCCGCCGACCGCGCGCAACCCCGCAAGCGCTGCCCCCGCCTCGGCGCCGACCAGCGCCCCCAGCGCATCGCCCGCCGCCTCAGGGTGCGCCGCGACGTCCGCCAGCAGCGCGCTGTAGAGCGCCTGCCTCCGTGCCGCTCGATGCGTGAGGTACGCGAACAGCAGCGCAGGCGCGGTGAGAAGAAGCGCGTACGCGCGGCGCGCAAGGAGCGCGTCGAGCGCCGCCGCCACGCTCCCGTCGTCCCCAAACTCGAACGCGCGGCCCCCAAACGCAGTGAGGGCCCGAACGAGGAAGGCGCCGTCCTCCGCGGCCACCGCTGCGCCGAGCACCTCCGCCGCGAGCGCGCGCCCGAAGGCGCGGATGCGCGCGGCGGCGGTGGCGGCGGTGAGCTTGCTGCTGCGCGTGGGTTCGACTTCTTCTGTCACGATGCGTTCCCCATCGACCTCTGCGTTCTGCGTAGCTGCGCCTTCCGTGGATGTGGATGTGGACGCCACCTCCTCGCCCACCAGCGCCCCGAGCACCGCACACACGAGCGCTGCGTCCCCCTTCACCGCCCATCCACCGTGCACACACGCGCCGAGCGCATCGAGGCCCGCGTCGAGGAGGTCTCCGTGGAGGCGAATAGTTAGATTGGTGTTAAGGGTAAAGGAAAGAGGGTAAAGCGAAACAACTCACCACCCCCCACCCCGCCCGCGCCCTCCAACGCCTGCCGCAAAAGCCCCGCCGCGCGCCGCGCCTCCACATGCAGCAGCGGCGCCGCGCGCTTCTTCTTCTCGTGCCTCTCCTTCTCGTCCTTCCCAGCCTCTACCTCTGCCTCTGCCTCCACCTCACCTCCACTCTCCCTCCCTGCCCCACGCTCCACCACCACACTCGACGCGGACAGCGCCCCCCACACCCTCCCCACCTCGCGCGCAAACAGCCTCGCCCCCGCCGCGCCCTCCGTCTCGCGCGCGAGGGCCCCACGATCTGCTTCCTCCTCATCCACAACACGCCCCGCAGCCCTCCCCCGCCTCACAACAAACACTGCACACTCCAGCAGCGCCGCGACGAACGCCGCCCCGCCGCGTGCGCGCGCCACGGGGAGCGCGGTGGTCAGCGCCGGCGCGGGCGTTGGTGCGTGTCTGTCTCTGTCTCTGTTTATTAATTCGAATTCGAATTCATCCCGTGCATCGCCGGAGGAGGGGGAGGAGGAGGATGGCGAAGCGGAGGCAGGCGGCCCCCCAAGCGCCGCCCAAAACGCGTCGAAGAGCGTGTGCGTCGGGGCGAGGAGCTGTTGGGGGAGGCGGGCGTAAGTAGACGGAGGAGAGAGACGAGGAAACAAAGAAAATAGAGAGAACGGGACTCGCCTCATCCGGCACACTCGCCACGACGACCACGACGCTCGGGTACGCCGCCACCGGTGCCCCGCCGCACGCGCGCGCGAGGAACTCGCGTTGAAAGAGAGTGTAGTAAGAGGGGGAGGAGGGAGGGGACGGAGGGAGGAGCCAGGCGGTGGGCGTGTCTGTTACAGGAGAAGTGGTTAGCGTCTTATTGCGGATTTCGGGAGACGGAAGAAGAAGGAGGCAACGCACCCCTCAAAAGTCCCAACACGCCGCCCCACATCGCGCCTTGCACGCCCCCGTCGCGCTCCGCCCACGCCGCGCGCAGGACGCCGCGCGCAAGGGCGGTGGTGATCGCGTGTGCTTGTGCGGCGTCGTCTGCGCCTCCGGGATTCGCGGCCTCGACGTCGTCGGCTTCATCATGTGCCCCCTCAACCTCGACTTCGCCATGCGCACCCCCGACGGCACCCGTCTGCACACGAGCTCGAAGAAGACGGAGGCCTGAAAGCACGGCAGGCACGGCGCCCCACGCCGCGCGCCGGAGGGCGGGCTGCGCGTGACCTAGGGGTTCTTCTTCTGCTTCGAGGTCGTGCTGTTCTCCTTGGCCGCCTTCATCCGAGTCTTCGTCCGAATCGGCGTCCCGCTCATGGGCGGAGGAAGAAGCGTGCGCAGGTGAGGATGCGGCGTTCTCATCCCGCAACGCGCCCCACAGCCGCGCGCTCGCGAGGAAGCCTGGCAGCGGCGAGGACGCGTCTTCGGGCATAGTCTCTACATACCTTAGTTTAGTACTGTCATGCAATGAATGGACGCACTCACCAAGCATATACCGAAGCGCACCGAACGCCGCGATGCGCAGACGGGCACGGCGGTCGGGCTCGCTCTCCTCGAGCTCATCGGCCTTGCTCCGTGGAAGATCGGGCTCCACACGGCCTGTGGGGCGCTTGACGGGCGGGCGGTTTTTGTTGCCCGTATTGGGTGGAGGTGGATTCGATGAGGGCGCGGGCGGGTTAACCGCATTGTAAAGCGCATCGGGATCGAGCAACGCACGCTCGAGAAAGGGGGCAAGGACGGCGGGAGTAGCCGGTGTGCGTGCGGCGGCGGCGATGGCGGCGACGGCGCGGTCGGGGTCGTGTGCGGCGAGAGCCCACGTGCCCGCTGCCGTCGGGTCGTCGTCTGCCGACGAAACGAGGGATGGGCGGAGGAGATCGATGCGGAGAAGGGCGGCGTGGACAGAGGCGGTGAGGGCGCGGATGCGGCGGTCCGGGTGGAGGAGGTGCGCGGGCAGGTGGTGCAGCCATACAGGCAGCATCTCCAGCAGTGTGTACTCATTGTCATCTTCCTCGCTCTTGGCCGCTGCCACCCATCCCCCCAATAGCTCCTCCAACGCCCTGACCTTCGTCACCGGCGCCTTCTTCCCCAGACTCCGCAAGACAACCAATAAATCCGGTGGCAGCCGATGCGCGAGCCCGCCCTCGTCCAGCGGGTCGCGCGTCGCGGGCGCGGGTTTCGAAGGCGGGATGTACACCTTGGCGCGCGGCGGATCCGACCGATGCGCCTTCTTGCCCCCCTTCGGCTTTTTCTCGCGAGTCGGAGGCTCCGGATCGGCGGGCCCAGCAGCTTTGCGGGCGTGCTTCTTGCGCGTCCCGGAAGAGGCGGACGATGATTTCGGCGGCATCCAAGTAAAAGAAAAGTAGGGTCGGCGTCGAGGACACGGCGAGCGCGAGTCAGCGGCCACGTGATAGCGCCCCTACGGCTTCCGCAGTACACAAGCCACAACAATGGTTGAAAAATTATGGTTCAACCCAAAGAGCTGGTTTCTTGGCACCGAGAAAGGCCAATTTTTCTACATCCTACCTGCTATTATGTATAATAGTGTAACAACGAATTGATGCAATTCTGAGGGAACTTTAAATTCGGCACTTGACTCTAGACTATTATTTGCGTCCACGGTGCGGGTCCAGCCAAAAGGATATGGCAGCTAGGTACACCGCCCTGGTAGCACAGGGTTAATTGCGTCTGCTAAGCTTCGGAGTGAAAACAATCAGTTATATCATGCAGTAGGTCCCGGTTCAACGCCTGGTCAGGTCATGATTCAGACTCTTCTTCTATGCTCTTTGTAAATTATCTCGCTAGCCCAAGAGCACATGTATTTCGAAGATAAAGGCTTTGTGGTAACAGGAATTATCCCGCCCAATTTTTATTTGACCTCAGCTCAAATCAGGATCTCTCACCCGGGCCGTCGAGTCTCGTAAAGACGACCTGGCAACACCAACACAGGGACGTGCATTTGCTACCCTTTAATTGTACTTACTTGTAATTTTATTGTCCCATTAACAGCCGGCAAGGAGGTCTCGGTTCGATTCCGGTACGCGTCCACAAATTCCTTCTCCTTGTTCAGAAGAGAGACGGAATCTGTCCTAGTTAGGTAAACCCACATCAAATTCATACTCAAACTGCGCAGCAAAGGACCTAATAGCACAATGGTAGTGTGTCTGCTGTATGTAGCTCATAACTGCTGATTACGCAGGAGATCCCGGTTCGACTCCGGGTTAGGTCGTTGTCTTTGCTTCATTCCTCAAGTGTTTTTTCTTAAAGCTATAGTAAGTAAGTTCAGGGTGTTGTCCAAAAAAAAAATGGCTCTGGTACATTACCCACGCTACACAGGCACAGCGGGACTGCGTCTGCTATAATTACAAGGCAGCAAGTACAGGAAGCTATGCAGAAAATCTCGGTTCGACTCCGGGTTGGGCCGTTTCTTTTTTTGTTTTCCTCTTCCTCAATTCTTCTTTCTCGAATGACATAATCATGAAGGAGACAAGCCACTTAGATTATAAGTACCACCAGGATTCCAATTGAACGGCTTGCGGTCGAGACGGCTCACACCAGTTGAGATTGCAAGTTCAACCAAGTTCGGCAAAACCCGCCGATGCCATCTCCTCGGATCGCAGGCCGTGGGGGCCGCTGCATTTTGATCCAACTTCCCAAGCGTTTCCATGGACCCACCATTCACGACAGAGACAGACAGGGATGACCAATCATGCTCCAATATGCGACAGTGCTAAGAGCGTCGAGGACACATGAGTGCCCCCCCCCTCCCCCCCCGTCACCGAGCGACGCTTTCATCTCATTTAATCTGAATGATTTGAACGATGCAAGCTTCTTTCTACGCTCCCTTATGCTCTCATGGCTTACTATTAGTCGTCACCTCGATGCGGATATGTCGCCGACCTTTCTTCTTTTTCCAAGCTTCTCAAAGAAAACCCAGAATTCTACTCGTCACGAAGGACTATCAACATATTCGTGCATCTCATAGTATGTGGCACTTGACCGCGCGGACAATTTCGTATAAGAATCCGAAGTTACGGTTGGTGGCTTGCAAGCTTCAGTCTGGAACATGATTGTCGCCGATCTGCAGAGAATGGGTTACGAAGGACAAGCACAGGGCATCTCGAAAGGCCAAATTCAACTTGTGAGTCGATTTTTCAGTCACCTGGAGACCTCCGTTGATATTCAGGCAGATGTTCCAAAGCGAGATCATGAGACTTGGGAGCGAACCAGGGAACAAACGCATCCATTCTGCTGACTGGTTAATTCCAGAACTAAGCCCGCCGGGGCTACTAGTGCATGGTAATTAGTGCAACCCGGTCATCGTTTCCTTACATTCTTTATACTGTAGCCACCCATTCTGTGAACGTAATTATAATAACACGGATCTGAGATCTGATTCAGGAAAACGAAGCATGCCTTAGCGGTGATCCAAGGAAAATTCAGTTTGGAAACTGGGCGGGGCACCAAAAGCACCTGGTTTTTTTTCCCAAAAATCTGTATCCGTCTTCGAGCGGGAAAAGGGAGAATCCACAGCGTTGACTATTCCTCCTCGAGAGGTCGAGCCAGCCATTCAAGTTCCGAGATCAGACGTGGTTGGAAAATCTGAAAAATGCAAACGCACAGAACAGGCGAGTGAACAATTATAATGGCATGTGTCCGATGTGTGTCCGTCAAGAACAACTATAATTTATAAAGGCCTGCCGCTTGATTTCAACTTCACCTACCGGCATTCGCCATGGCGTTTTCCGCGGAAAAGAACTCGAGCCAAATTTGAAGTGACCTAGAATCTGGTGCAGTACAGTGCATTACAGAGCGGTGGAGGAGAATGTACAAGTAAGAGCAAGAGCTTGCGGCGGGGGAGTTGGAAAGCGGGTATATGATAATGAACCGTGGACAAGAGGAGTACAAATTTAACTCGTCCGGATGACATAGAAATTCTGTTGAGAACCATACAAACCCGCAATCAGCAACCCAATCAGCAACCTGCGCACGCGTAAAGACAGACAGACAAACCCCCCAGCTACTCCTCATCATCCCCGTCGTCCTCGCACGGATCAACCACAATCGTGTTCCCCACCACAAGCAGGGGCTGCGGCGCAAAGCACGCAACTTTGCGGTCGACCTTGCGAGTCGACTGGGCGAGAATCGGGGGGTACGGCGGGAATTGTGCCGGGATCTTGCGCCCCGTGCTCGCGAGCACCACCGCTTCCGCTTCCGCGATATTACCCTTCTCTTGCAGCGCGCTGCGCATAGAGACCGCCGTACGGTAGTCCTCGCTGCGCGCAGTGTACTGGCTACGCGCAGACGTCTTCTTCCACTCGAGGTGCGCGGTGAGGAGGGCTTCGGTGCTGTACTTTCGGATAGCACTGGGCAGCATTCAACAATGAGGAAGACGAGCAATGAAGCAGATGAAGTTATTGAGCGCACATTTTTTTCGCGAGCGCCTCACTGATGACCTTGACCGGGCGCTTAGAGGTGCGGTTCGGATCGAGCCACTCGCTATATTCGTGACATTTCAATTAGAATTCAAAGCGATCATTCAAAGACTGAGTGGTTCGCACAGGATAAGCAGCTCGCGAAGCTCGCGGTCTCGCAGGTCGTACTTTGCTAGGGCCGCGGAGAATGAGATCACAGAGAATTCCTCACCCGGAAGGCAGGTGTCGCAGACGCGCTGCGGCTCTATTAGCTCCCGGACGAAATAAACCAGCGAGGCCGGGCACGAACCTTCATGTGTGGAATGAAGAGCTGCTGTGCGTATCCGCCGCAGACTGTGCACGCCTCCGCCAAGCAGCGGTAAACCAGCGCTCTACCGCCCGCCGCCAAATCTTCAGAGACTCGTTGGGCGGAGTAAATGCCACTTACCGCTTCGAGAACGAATCGAGGATATTTAGGGCCGTCAAGCACTGTTCGAAGCTTTCATCCGAGTAGTTGACAATAATCTGCGTAAGAGTGAACACCTGAAGACTAAAGACGTGTCCATAACGCACGGCAAACCACTCCGCCCATCGTTTATCACTCAAGACAAAGGTGCGCCAGTAGGTCGAGACGTGGCTGAGAGCGAGAAGATCATATGGGTCGAGTTCTTTTGCTATGATGCATAAATCCAGTCAGTTTTTGGCTTACAGGCAGGACAGGACGCGACATACACGCCATAAACTGGAGTTCGCGAGGATGGACGCGAGACGCGACAGGGCCATTTTTAACGCGATTCAGCGCGTCGAAGGGGTGTAGATGCCGGGAGAAGTCGGCTTGTTTCGATATCCCGGTGGAAACAAGACACAGAGACACAAGAAACGCGGTGGTGGATGTGGAGAAAAAGCAAGAAAAGTTGTGACTTCCGATGCGTGTCACACTCTTTCCCACGATAAGGCTCTTTCAAGCACAATCAATCAACATAATTTTCACCTGCCTGAATTATTTCATGCTCAATCCATTTTTTTTTTTGGGACGAGAAGGACTGAAAAAATAAGCGCCTGCTCTCGTTGACAGAACAACTGTAGCTGCCGGCATGGCATGTTGGCAGCATCAATAAGAAGTTGAACCGTGGCTTTGATGCCGTCGTTCAATGCCGGGGCGTTTGACACGCTCAGCATAGAGAAGATGGAGCAGGTCCAGCAGAATTGACATCATTGAACCCATTCGATGGGGTAGTACGGGAAGGATTTACAGACCCGAGGCATAGTACGTACTGTACAAGGTCACTGAAGCAAGGTCAACTTTGTCCAAAATTGTTTTGATTTGGGTTCGATTGAACATTCGAATAGACTGAAGGTCTTGATAGTATTCCACAAACTAATGACAAGTTTCTCGAGTGCTTGCCTCTCTCCACAGAGTTCATCGGGCGCGAACGGCCGAAATATTGCACCGCCACTGATACGTGCTGACCAAGCCAATCGCGGCTTTGACTCAACGCCCATGTCGTCTGAACAAATCGTGCTAGTTGTCGGCGCATCTCGAGGGATAGGTCTTGCATTGGCCCAAGAGCTAGCTGCGACACCTAATACCCACACAATCGGCACCGTCAGAAGCCCGAACGCCGCCCTCGACGCTTCCAACATCCGAACCGTTACCCTGGACGTCACCGACGACGACTCTATCGCCAAAGCCGCCAGCGAAATCCCCGAGCTCGACACCATCATTATCAACGCGGGCACAGGCAGGCGGGCCCCCGTCACCGCCACCTCTACGGCGGACCTATCCACGTTCCTAACCGTGAACGTGCTCGGCCCGCACCGCGTCATCCGCGCGTTCCTCCCGGCGCTCCGTGCGCGAAAGACGCGACGCATCATCATCCTCTCCTCATCGAGCGCCTCGCTTGGCCAGCAGGCACTCCCCGGGTCCACCGGGCTCGCTGGGTGCTATGGTGTATCGAAGGCTGCGCTCAACATGCTCGCGGTGCAGACCCACAACGAGCTGCAGAAGGAGGCGTTCACAGTGGTCCCGATCCATCCGGGATGGGTGGCGACGGATATGGGCAATCAGCACGGAGTCGGCGGGATGCCTCCCGAGACTTCCGCGAAGGCGATTGTCAAGTTGGTGGCTGGTTTGACTCCGAAGGAAAGTGCGACGTTTTACAAATTTGATGGAGAGAAGATGCCGTGGTAGAGAGTCGTATCGATTCGCTCAAAACCTGTACTAGACAACGAATTGCTATCTTGTTGAAATTCTGGATACTTACATAATCCGCTGCGTCTTTCTCGTCGGCAACGACATGATGTACAGTATGTATCATGTGGGAAAGACTTCAACACTTCAACCGAGTGTCTTCGACGATATTTATTCAACAAATTCCGTAGCATTCGCCTCCAATACCGCGGGCGGCGACGTCTATATAGCTATCTACCCCTTAGTCTGACACTATTGTACGGGCAAAAGAACGGCGTACCGGGCGCGATCCAGTCCACGACATCGAGGCCTAGGACCTCGTCGACGATGCGGTACTTGATGACTTCCTTGTACCGTCGTTGGTGAGGACCGCGACGGCGAAATAGTCGTCCGGGAAGCGTTGTTTGGCTATGGAAACCCATGGGGTGATGTGTTCATTTATTTCGCTTGAATTGAAATTAATTTACATAAAAGGATAACCGACTTGAGAGTATTATCTCTACGAAAATCAAGGGAAATGAGCAAAGGGAAATGAGCACCGGCGTTATGCAAGTATCTTTCGCGACTGCGTACTGTGTCCTCGGTGGGTCGACTGAACCTGCCCTCCACCGTGCATGCATCGCG